GAAACTCTGTCCTCACTGCCACCTCCCTCCCCAACAGCTGCTACTAGATGCTGTCAGGAGCCCAAATTAGCCTGCTGCCCCATTTGGTCAACAGAGAAGCTCTCCAGGCCATCCTTCAGCCCTCTAGTGACAGGGCTGAAACTAATCCAGACAAAGAGAAAAGAGAGGCCAGGCTTCAGCACCTTTCTTCTGAGAGCTGAAACTATGCCTCATCCCAACTTCCCCATCCCCATCCTGACTCTGCCCCTCTCCCTGCTGGCTCAGGGGCCCAATCAGATAGTGAACTCCCATCCTTCCATCAAAATGATGTGAGCCTGGACCGAGGGTACACTTCTGACTCGGAGGTCTACACTGACCATGGCAGGCCTGGCAAGATTCACCGATCAGCCACAGATGCTGATGTGGTCAACAGCGGTTGGTTAGTGGTGAGTGAGCATACGGGCAGCGGGTGAGTCTTCCCCTCTTGGCCTGTGGGAAAGATTCCTGGCCTTCTGAGAGGGCAGCTAGGGGAAGATCAGGGTCAAGCCTGGATTCTCAGCTCCTCTGTACTTTACAGGTGGGGAAGGATGACATCGATAACTCCAAGCCAGGGCCTGAGACCAGCTGGCCAGGTCCTTCACCCCTGGTCAATCAGTACAGCCTAACAGTGGGGCTGGACCTCGGGCCACATGACACCAAGTCCCTGCTCAAGTGTGTGGAGTCCCTGTCCTTCATCGTGCGTGACGCTGCCCACATCACACCTGACAACTTTGAGCTCTGTGTCAAGACTCTCCGCATCTTTGTGGAGGCCAGTCTGAATGGCGGTGGGTCACCTGATGAAGGGGCATTTGGGGAGTAACCATGTGAATTACGGGGGAAAGGGAGGAGCAGGCCATCTGTACCCATGGATATGGAAATGTGACCTGTGTCTGGCCCTGCTCAGGGTGCAAGTCCCAGGAGAAACGTGGCAAGAGTCACAAGTATGACAGCAAAGGGAACCGCTTCAAGAAGAAATCCAAGGAAGGCTCAATGCTTCGGCGGCCTCGAACCTCCAGCCAACATGCCACTCGGGGCGGGCATAGTGATGACGATGAGGACGAAGGTGTGCCTGCCAGCTACCATACGGTGTCTTTACAGGTCAGTCAGGACGTAAGTATGGCACCCTTTACTTCCTCTCCTCTCCTGGTACCTGACATTGGGAGTCTTGGTGGGGCCAGGGAAAGCCAGGGCGGAAAGGAAGGGCCTGTGTTCCAGCCAGGGCCTCAGCCAGTGTCCCCACAGTGCCCCCCTGTCCAGGACCGCCTGTAAGTCTTTGTTTGCTTCATTTTTAAATTATAGTTTGTTTTTGAAATAAGTAATTCAAATGCACATAGCACAGAGTTCAAAAGGTACAAAAGGGTAAGCAGATAAAAGTCCCATTCATTTCCTGTCCCCAGCTGCTAAGTTCCCCTTACCAGAGGCAACCACTGCCATCAGTTTCTTGTTTATCCTTCCAGAGTTATTCTGTTGTCTATTCAGGACATATAAAATTTATTTTATGAGCAGACTTTACATCAATAAATAAATGGAGAATTAATTGCTTTAAATAGAATAACCTTAGAAAAATTACAAAAACAAAAAATTATTAAATCTGGCCAGACACTGTTGCCTATCAAAGCCTCTGAGCCTGAGGTTTGCTGTTTTTAAAATGAGATTAACAAGATGAGGCTTTATCTGTCATCAGAAAGTATGAAAAAGGAGTGAAAAAGTACCTTTCTCACTGTGTAATTGTGTTATTAAATACTTAGTCCACACACCTCCTCAAATCCCCGCTACTAGGAGTAATACCCATCTTTGGGAAACACTGGTCAGGACTAGGACAACCAGCTCATAAAGTTGAGGAGAAGGGAGTGGTGAGAGGGGTGGAGTATGGTGTGATCGGTACTAGGGACTCCCTTGAGGACTCAATCAGGGACAGTGGGAGTGGGCTGGTGAGGAGGGGATCCACCAGACCTAACCCCACTCATGTCGTGCCCCTCCTGTGACCCAGTTGCTAGACCTGATGCACACCCTACACACAAGGGCAGCCTCTATCTACAGCTCATGGGCGGAGGAGCAGCGCCACCTGGACACAGGAGGCCGGAAGATCGAAGCGGATTCACGCACCCTCTGGGCCCACTGTTGGTGCCCTTTACTTCAGGGTAAACCTCAGGGGAGCAGGCAGGGCAGGGGCAGAGGTGGAACTGGCGCTTGGGAAGTACCAGGATCAGGATGCCCAAAGGATCCTGAGCCTGTTCTCATTCTCAGGCATTGCCTGCCTGTGCTGTGATGCCCGGCGCCAGGTGCGGATGCAGGCACTGACCTATCTGCAGCGAGCACTACTGGTACATGATCTGCAAAAGTTAGATGCCCTGGAATGGGAGTCCTGTTTTAACAAGGTAGGACTTCCCTCTGGTCTTAAGGTAAAGTGCAAATCCTAAAGACAAGGAGAGCCAAGCAGCTTGAAGAGCCCCTGATGTCAATTCTCAGCCTGTATCAGACCTTCCCTCCTGTTCTGTACCCATCCACCGCAGCCCAGGGTCAAGTGGACAAGGCTTCCACCTGACCCTGCTAGGGAGATGTTGGCTTCTTACCCACCAGGTGCTGTTTCCTCTACTGACCAAGCTCTTGGAAAACATCAGCCCTGCAGATGTGGGCGGGATGGAGGAGACCCGGATGAGGGCTTCCACCCTGCTCTCTAAGGTACTGCTCATGACCCTACACCCACCCACTCTCCCCACACCTGCCTCTTCGCAAGCAGGGAAGCCAAGGCTACTGGGAGGACCTAGAGATGTAATGTAGGTGCTTAGGACTCCCAGCTATGGAGACTCAGCAGGACCCAGGGACCTGGGAGGATTTTGGAATTCAGAGGAGTCTCTGATCCAGGATTCCCACACAAGATAGGGCAGGCTTGCCTCCCACCCTTGGAGAGGGGTGCAGAAGGCTCCTACCCTACTCTTGGCTGAGGGGCTGGGGGACCATAGGTCTTCCTGCAGCACCTGTCTCCACTGCTGTCGCTCTCTACCTTTGCGGCCCTCTGGCTGACCATCCTGGATTTCATGGACAAGTACATGCACGCAGGCTCCAGCGACTTACTGGTACGTTCTGCCTCAGCCCAACTCCAGCTGCCTACTTCCTCTCCCATCTTCTGGGAGGACTTGCTGTTTCTCCCTTGGTGGCTGCCTTCTCCTTACCATATCCCCCCATGCCCTCTTTCCCATTCTCATGGCCCCACTGCCACCTGCAGTCAGAGGCCATCCCTGAGTCTCTGAAGAACATGCTCCTGGTGATGGACACAGCAGAGATTTTCCACAGTGCGGATGCCCGAGGAGGCAGCCCCTCAGCCCTCTGGGAGATCACCTGGGAGCGCATTGACTGTTTCCTGCCCCACCTACGAGATGAGCTCTTCAAGCAGACTGTCATCCAGGGTAGGGAGCTCCAACCAACTTCATCAAAGAGAGTCTGGAGCTAATAATTAGTTCTCTGTGCCTGGGGTGGGGGTTAAGTCTAGTGAGTAGCCAGGACTCTACTTGAAATAAAGCACCGAGAGCCGCCATCTGGATTCTCTACCCTCTCCAGACCCTGTGCCCATGGAGCCTCATGCCCCAAAACCTCTGGCCTCAGCCCACCTGACTCCTGCTGCTGGTGACACCAGGACACCTGGCCATCCACCTCCCCCAGAGATGCCCTCTGAGCTGGGGACCTGTGGTGAGTCCCTCTGAGCGAGTTTGCTGGATGTCAAACAGGAAGTCAGGGAGGTCCGGGGTACTTTGAGATTGCTGCTGGGCATGGGCTGTGAGCCAGGGGAAGGAAAGAACCAGAAGATCCTGTTCACCTGCTCTTCTTATGGGAAATGGCAGGGCCAGGTCAGCTATGATGAGCTAGCTGCCTGGGATTTTCAGGCTTCAGAGAAGGAGGCTGGATCAGGGACTTGGAATGAATATGCAGAGGTTGCCCTTCAGGAATTCTAATAAAGACCAGACCAAAATTAACCTACTGGAGGTACAGCAAAGAAGATAAAGGGTAGATATAAGGTAGCTGGACACTGGAATAAGTTTTGAGCAGAGACTCTCAACTGTGTAGACTGGGAGGGGTCATCTTGCTTACAGGAGTGGGAGAAGCAGAAGTTTGGTAAACTAGCTGCAGAATGTGAGCGAGTCTGACTGCAGCCACCTTGCTTTCCCTCTAGACTTTGAGAAGCCCGAGGGCCCCCGACCTGCCAACAGCAGCTCCTCTGGATCACCAGTGGCATCCAGCCCCAGCAGACTGAGCCCTACCCCGGATGGGCCTCCACCCCTGGCTCAGCCCCCACTGATCCTGCAGCCCTTGGCCTCCCCACTGCAGGTGGGCGTGCCCCCCATGACTCTGCCTATCATACTCAACCCCGCTCTCATCGAGGCCACCTCACCTGTGCCCCTCCTGGCCACACCCCGCCCCACAGACCCCCTGCCCACCTCTGAGGTCAACTAAGGCAGGGCCCTCAGCGATCAGGACCAGTACTTCCTACCAGGCTGTCCCTGGCCCACCTCTCAGCTGTCCCAGGGGCCACAAATTCTTCAGTCCCAGTCCAAGCTGCTATCACTGCTACTTGGATGGGGACCTGAAAAAGAACTTTTACAGCCCCTCCTGGGACCCACAGTCAGTCTGTGGGACCTTCCTCCTCTGCTCTCCATTCCTGGGAGTCCAACCTGAGAGCACACTCAGGTATCACCTGCAGCCTGGCAGCTCGGGGAGGCATCACTGTACCAGCCCTGCAGTGCCCGCCCTTGTGCTCCTCCTGCCCGTGGTCAGGCATCGAGAGCTAAGCCAATCACTCTGCACTTTGTTTCCCTCTCCCAACCCCACTCCCATCAGCCCTGGGCCACCTCCTCTAGTTCTTCCTCTTTTATTAATTAGTTGGTCAGTTTGGAGAGTTGATTGGCGCCATGGAGGGTGGACAGGTGGGGCTGGACAGAGGGACTGCCCACAGGAGCATGTACATATGGAAAAACAGGACAACAGTGGATTTTTTATGATGTAATAAATGTCTTAGTACCAACATCATTGCCTTTCCCTCTGGTTTCCTTCTTGAGTTTGTGGGTACCATGTTTCGGGATACCCAGGCCATCACATGAACAGAAATGAGACTGAGCCTACCAACAGTCTGGCCCACATGGCCCCTGGTCACCAGCCAGCCAGACGCCAGGACGCAGTCAGGATTCCTTCACTGCTGCTGCCCCACGACCACCATCACAGCAGTGCCCCCTTAGCACCAGGGATGCGCTAGGGGGTTGGCAGTTGTCCTCTTCCCTAACTGCTCCATCGGAGATAACCGTGACAGCCTAGGCTGGGGTCAAAGGGAAGGTGAACCAGAGCTGAGCTGTAGTTATTCAGAAGTCTTCCCTCAGATGTGCCTCATAGTCCCAGGAGCAGAGAGGAGCCCATGGGGCTTAGTGGGTGGGAGGCTATCTTGCCCATAGCTGTGATCATGTGTTTCTGGACACAGGGCATTCATTTTGGCCCAGAACTGAGGAGGGAAAATTTCTTCCCATCCCACAGCCTCCATCTACCCCAGTCACTGCAGCATGATTGGAGAACCCCTCCCCTTCTTTCCCTTTGCGTCAGGGTGAGATAAGTGGGAGTGTGTATGGGGCAGGCAGTGTGGCCCCTGCAGGGGTGAGGTACTGTGGGTGTGATGCAGAATACTATTAAGCTTTCCCAGGTGAAGCATCTCCATCATCTTGGCATCCTCCTTCACCATGGTCTCTTCCCCCAGGGGAAGGGAGGGCAGAGAGTGGTACCTGCTGTACTACCAGCTGGCCTCCCTCATGGAGAGTTAGGGGCACTCACCTCTTCATTGGTCCCAGATGTCTATGTAATCGTTCAGCACCTTGGGCTTTCCTTTGCTCAGCACAACCAGGTGGATGTTGCTGGGTCTGGATGTCTGTAAGTGCCTCCCTCGGGTGCTTTGGAAATGGAAACAGCCTGATGTGGAACAATACTGACATGAGTCCTGCAGCTCTTACACTAGTTTCTCCCTCTTCCCTTCCTTCTGCAAGTAGTCCAGACCATGCCTGCTTTCCACACTAACTAGAAGCCTTGCTCCTGGGAAAATTAGGAGTAAGACTGCACTCCTTCTTTGCACATTTCTGTATGAGTGCAGAAAAGCCCGGAACTACAGTTAGGTTAACACTAGGGCTGTTGGCTTCAGCTATAACATCTCTGTTCTCCCTTCTGAGCCCCACAGCTCTGCCTTCAGAAGCTTCTGTTTCCCTATGGGGGAAACAACATTGACTACTGTATAGAAACCTGAAGGCCATCCTATGAACAAAGGAATATGAAAAGTCTGTATCCCTCGGTCTACAAATATCGGGAAACAAGCTGGAGTAATTGCAAACTGAACCCTTCCCCGCTGGCAAGCAAAGAAAAACATTTGTTGGAAGCCTCATTCTGTTATAGAAAGATCAACTGACACATACGTGACTTGTGTGGTTGACAGTGTTGTCTCTGTCAGGCAAGGGAAACTACAAGAAGAACTAATATTCAGGCCTTAATTCTGACCAACAAAGAATGGCTGATGATGTGGAAGTGACAAAACTTGTGGGAAAGTAATAGAATAATCTGAAGGGAAATGCTGGTCTTAATGATGTCTCCTATAAGAACTCTAGGATAGCAGGCTTCAAAAAGTCCAGAGGAAAGCTAGAGACTTTTAAGACCCTAACATGGAGAAGTGACATTGTTGGAACACCGATATATGTCAATATTAAGTGCACTGCTTACCCAACCTTGTAGAGGTATTTACTCCTCTTACAGATGAGGCAACAGGTTCAGAGAGGCCAAATTCCTGGGAAGTTAGGGAGCTGGGATTCAAACCCAGGTCTGTCTCACTCTAAACCCCATGGTCTTTCCTATGACACTTCCTCAGCTCAAAAGTAGTAGTGGTGGGGCACAGTTGTTAAGAATCCGCCTGCCAATGCAGGGGACACAGGTCCGAGCCCTGGTGCTGGAAGATCCCACATGCTGCAGAGCAACTAAGCCTGCAAGCCACAACTACTGAGCCTGCATGCTACAACTATTGAGCCCATGAGCCACAACTACTGAAGCCCGTGCATCTAGAGCCCGTGCTCCTTAAGAAGAGAAGCCACCGCAATGATAAGCCAGTGCACTGCAACAAAGAGTAGAGAAAGCCCGCGCGCAGCAGCGAAGACCCAACGCTGCCAAAAAAACCCAAAAAAGAATGCCCCAGGGCTCAGTGCTTGTCAACTTCTTTTCTCCACATTCAATCGTGGGGTGATGTCCACTGTTGAAACTTTAAATACCATCCATCACTCTGACTTTATGTACAACTACCCCTCATCTCTTCTAGGTTCTTATACCAATGCCCACACCCCACCACCCATATCCCCACACCCAATCCCTCAGCAAGTCTTGTTGCTTCTGTCTTTCAAATCTATCTGGAATGTGACTACTTCTCCCACCCTCACCCACTACCACCCAAGTCTAAGCCACCATCTATTGGACTACTGGTCTCCCTCCTTCATTCTAGTCCCATACTCTCTACCCTTTACTCTCCACACAGCAGCCAAATGGATACTTTTAATACATGTCATATCATTTTCACTCCACTGCCCAAAACCCTCAAATGGATGTCCATCTCATTCAGCATAAAATCCAAAATTCTTACTTTTTCTCACCTACCTAACTACCTTGCTGGTCCTCAAATATACCAAACGCATTTGTATCAGACCTTTACACTACTGGTGCCTCCACCTGGAATGCTCTTCCCTCAGATATCCACATAACTCACCCCCTCACTTTTTTCAAGTCACTGTTCAAATGTTACCTGATTCAGAGAAGACTTCCCTGACTGCTACACAGAAAACACTTGTCACTCTCTATACTCTTACTACTTTATTTTTCTCTGTAGCACTTATCACCAACTGACATATTATACAGCCATTTGATTTTTGTCTTCAAATAGGGACACTGATTTCTAGAATAGGCCCTCCCTATTTATTGGTGAGTGAATGGAGCGAATTTATGGTGCCTCTCTTCTGGGCCAGCAGTAGTGCTAGGCCTGGGTACAGAAACAGAGATAATCATTAGGTTGGAAATTAGTGAAACAAACAATGAAGAGGTTTCCTAAGTCGAGATAGATGAGGCTATAGCAACTAACAATAAACTTTGAGTCAGTTAAAATCTCCAGGACAACACTGGGAATTGTTGGAGCTGACTGATGAGTACATGGGGATTCATTATACTATTTTCTCCACTATATATGTTTGAAACTTTCTATGATAAAGGTTTTTCTTTTTTTAAATCTTCAGATAAACTACAGCTTCCCTGGTGGCGCAGTGGTTAAGAATCCACCTGCCAGTGCAGGGGACATGGGTTCAAGCCCTGGTCCGGGAAGATCCCACATGCCGCGGAGCAACTAAGCACATGCACCACAACTACTGAAGCCTGTGCACCTAGAGCCCGTGCTCCACAAGAGAAGCCACTGCAATGAGAAGCCTGTGCACTGCAACGAAGAGTAGCCCCCGCTTGCTGCAACTAGAGAAAGCCTGCGTGCAGCAACGAAGACCCAATGCAGCCAAAAATAAACAAACAAATAAATAAATAAATAGAAAGAAATTACAGCTCAGAATCTCATAATTAGAATAGCTCAACCCCTTGGGCTTCCCTGGTGGCGCAGTGGTTAAGAATCGTCCTGCCAATGCAGGGGACATGGGTTCGAGCCCTGGTCCGGGAAGATCCCACACGCTGTGGAGCAACTAAGCCTGCGTGCCACAACTACTGAGCCTGCGCTCTTGAACCCGTGAGCCACAACTACTGAAGCCCATGTGCCACAACTACTGAAGCCTGCGTGCCTAGAGCCTGTGCTCCGCAACAAGAGAAGCCCTCGCACCGCAACGAAGAGTAGCCCCCGCTCGCTGCAACTAGAGAAAGCCCGCGCGCAGCAACGGAAGACCCAGCGCAGCCAATAAATAAATAAATAAATAAATAAATAAAATAAAAAAGAATAGCTCAAGCCCTAGGGTTGCTTTTAGAGACATTTTGGAGACTAAGCGTTCATGCCAATTTCAGCTGTTGGTTTATGAGCACTTTGAAAGGACAGTTGTAATCAATGGTAACTAGCACAGGTTCACTAAGTTGTAGTACACCAATCTAACCTCATTCCATTTTAATTTAACGGTTTTGGGTCTGATTTACCAGGGGAAGGTAGTAGACAATATCCCTGGATTTTGACAAATTATTTGGAGGCCCACAGTGCAGTGGAAAGGCCTGCTTTGTTTTATACAAATTTAGGGGAAAGAGCTTTGTCCTAGAGTTAAGAGACTGGGTTTGATTCTCACTCTGTCCCTTTCTAGCTGTGTATTTGGTTGTGTTAATTCACCTCTCTGAGCCTTAATTTCTTTATCAGTAAAGGTAATATTTACCTCCTAGTGCTGCTGGGAGGAAGAATAAGAATTTATACTAAAGTATCTTAACACAGTATCTGGCACATTCCTTTTGCAGGCAACATGAAGAGGGGGAAGTGACAGGAAATAGCCCAAATCAAGGGCCATAATAGTCTCCCTTTATGCAGAGCTACTGCAGGCCTGTAATTCCATTATTAAGGTCAGGGGCAAGTTGCAGGAAAGATCTGAAACAACAGCCTGTGTTCTACCTCGGTGAGCCGAAGGGAGGACGCCTGCAAGAATGGAGATTACTCATGGCACCTCCTAAAAAAAAATTCTACCAACCAGAAATGTCCAGCCTCGGAGTTCAGCACCTTGTGAAATTCTGTACTGACCTTGCTGCCACTAGAAGGGTCGAAGCGGACATTGGAAACTGTATAAAAGGCAATTTCCTACATCGGAGGAAGTTTTAACTATTAATTTTGGATGCCTTTTCCATTCTAATATTCCAAATCTCCGTGATCGATGAACAAGGCCTGAGTCCCCCAAATAAACAACTCATTTCTCTTACGCGGCGCAGACCAGAGTTCAGGTCTGAAAGTCTGGCCAGCTGTTAACCTGCCATTTATAGAACAAGTTTTAGGTACAGATTGTCTCTTCCAGGGAAGACTGATTAAGAGAAGATTACGGAGTCTCCTCGCGGCTCCAGAGAGGCCACCAGATGGCACTCTGGAACCGACTGCAAGATCAACTTCCTCCCTCTTCCCCTAAGTCTTCCCGGCAGCGGGGCCCCGCTCCGGGCGGGGGGCCAGAGGGCTGAGGCAAACCAGCTTCCCCTTGGGGTTCCCCGGCTTCAGAAGTGGCCAAGTATTAGGCGCACCATAAAGCCGAGCAGCAGCGGGGGCTGCCAGCCGGCTGGGACATGCCTGGGTGGGTGAGGAGACTGGAGCCGGGTCCTTCGACTGGGGAATGGCACTCGGTCAGCGGATCCCGCAGCGGACTGGTCCCCAGGCCGGAGCCAGCGCCTGAGAGTCATTCTCACTCCTGCTTCCCGCGCTGCGCAAATATTTCTCCTCTAAGGGGCTGCCTGAACCACTCCTGATTGGCTGCGCGAGTCCGGGACTTAAACTTTCAGCCAATAAAAAAGGGCATGGCGAGTGACGCACGGGAACGTCACGGGAATTCCCCCCTCCCGGGGGCCGAAAAGGGGCTTTCCCGACTGGAGTCCGGGTGGTTGGAGAGGTGCCGCGACCCGTCCGAGGTGGGTCGGGCAAGGAGAGAATCCGGAACCGGAGCCGCCGCCGCGGTGAGTGGCTGGGTTCAGACCCCTGGGTGGCGGGACGCCGGGAAGGGCAGGAGGAGGGCCCTTAGCTGACCGAGCCCCAGAGCTTAAGAGCGGCATCTGCACACTCCAGAGAGCACGCACACGAACAAGACACGCGGATACACATCAATATCCCTGTACAAAGACGCGGGCCGTACGTATTTCTACACATATGCCGGCGGGTGCACAGGGTCGTCCATGCACTCAGACTCACACATACATGCACACGCAAAACACACTCACCCGTGCACAGGTG